AAGGAGAACCTCAAAACGGATGAAGAACCCCAAAGAAGAGAAAGCCGTTCGAACGGCAGAACTTCTCACGCTTCCATCGGAATGCAGAAGAACGTTCCATCGGATTCGGCCGCAGCGGAGGAGCGCTGCTCGGCGAGGGCGAACAACACCACGGGTCTGCTGGGAACGGTTGGGTACACGCAATCGGCAAGCTAGGACAGCTCTGGGATGGCAAAAGGAAAGCCCTTTAAAAGGGTGGAATTGTCTCTGGAACTGATGTGTATATAGATGATTATAGATGTGGAAACAATGGAAAGTAGCAGCGATAGCATAGAAGAAGTCAATAGGCGCCGCCCTCCGGATCGAGGAACCACCAGGATTCGCAGCCCAGCGGACCGCGGACGGCCACCCTTCGACCAACCGCGTCCTGAGCGAGGTTCGAGGTGCTAGCCGTCCTCGACCGTCTTCGATGGCCTGGAACAGCTGGGGCAGCTGAAAAGCATGGGGACGGTACACACAAAGCAAAGTACACTGGAACTGATTGGAATTGTCTCATGGAAAACAGTTAAATCATGTTGAAACGAACGATTTCGGCGACCGATCGCAGTGTGATCGTAGCCAAAAGAGTCCGAGAGTGAGTCCGGCTCCTTTTCTTCCGAAGCATCCGCCGATTTACTGCAAAGCTCAAAAAGCATTGCTCTACAGCGGCACCCAGCATGACGGTGACACAAGGGCACAACGCCGGCTTAAATGAACATGTGTTCCTTCCGATTAGGATGGAACGAGCTGTTGCTCACGTGAAAAGCGGCTGGGCCACTGGAAGCATCCCAAATCTTCACAGAGTTGTCGTAACTCCCTGAGACAATGTGGCTGCCGTTCGGGGAGAAGGCTACCGAATACGCGGCCCATGGGTGGTGGCCCTTGAAGATCCTCAAACTTCTCCCTGAGGTGGCTTCCCAGAGCCGCACCAGGCCGTCATCTTGTCCGGAGATGAAGGTGGTGCCGGTGGGTGACCACTGCACAGAAAAAACCTTCGAGCCAGTTGGAATGGACCTCTCTGGGATTTCAACGCGGTCCTGGGGCGAAGTTGTGCAGCCCTCCTTGGCGTAGAAGGTGCAAAGCTCTTCGAGCGCCTGTTCCACTGCGGTCTTCTTCTTCTTCAGCTCTTGGGCGTCAATCTCTGGAAACTGGAAGGGAACCAGAAGCTCGCTAATCGGCACCAAGAGGTTGGATTTCGAGCCGATTGGCTCCAAGTTGTCCTTCACCTGCTCACCCCATTTCTCTGCATCGCCGGACAAGAATTCATCGCAGCCAATGCAGAAGGTGTGTGTCTCACCCGACTGCGTGGCTTCTTGAAAGGCCTTGGTTGCATCGGCATTTTCCTTATGGTGGTCAGTGTTCTGGGGATCGGAAAAGATCCAAAAAAAAACCTTGGCCGCCAAATCCAAGCTGAATCCTTTCTCCTTGGCGGTCTTCTCCAAGACCTCCTTGCTGCTGTCGCTCATCCACGAGCGCTTTCCCATGGAAGCGCCCGAAGCGATTTTGGCGGTGAAGTGTGTCCCGAAGGCATCAGAGAGCATATGTGCTCCATGACCCACTGCACCGATGCATTAGCACCGTCAGTCGGAATGGATTTCACTGCATTCTGGAAGGCCTCGCTGAAGTTGTACTTGAAGTAAATGGTTTCTGGCGCTCCGGGTAGCTCTCCCGTCTTCAAGTGACAAGCAGCTTTCGTGTCGAAGAAGGTCTGCTTCTGTTTGAAGCTTTGGCTATTCATAGTCTGGAAGGAACTGCTGGCTGTGAAGGAAGCTTTAATGATTTTCCACAACCCCACACTTGCCTTGACGTCCCACTCGCTCATCATTGACTCTTGGGCACTCTTGCCACCAGTGATCTCGTGGGTGTATGCATCGCAGTTGCACCTTCCATCATCGGAGATCCATTCGTCCTTGAGCGAGGTCGGCTCTAGGATTGGTCCTTTCCAACCTGGATCTCGGTCGTTCACAGTGTGTTGGTCCCGAGTGATGATGTTGTAGCCTCGACCCAAGTATTGCAGAGCCTGAGGCACTTCCGCCGGCACTTCGGCTTTGGGAGGCTTGCCCAAAACACACGAAAGAAACGCCAAAATGCTAAAGCTAAAGGACCACCAACATGTCATGGCAATGAGTGATCGATGACCGCTGTTTAAATCTTTGAACTTCATGGTTATCAAGTTTCTCAATTGCATTCTCTCTTCTACAAGGTAGTCTTGCACTTCCAATCCACCCAATGATTCTCCATCCCACTGACCGCAAGCGCTGCCGCAGCCATCCGCAGCCCACGCCTCGGCGTGCGCCAGGTCCGTCTCGCCGACATGCGCCCACATGCGCCCTGGCACAAACATCATGCATCTCCCTCTCCCCCCAAAAAAAGATAGAAGGGGGATTCTGGGGGCTTTGGAGTTGTATGTTGGCTGTTTCGGTTTATATGATTGAGTTTTAATGTTTCTTCGTTGTCTTTGATGTTTTTTCATGTTGTTCAGAGAATATTTTGGGGGGGCACACTATTTCGTTTTTTGTTGTTCCTTATTTGTTTTTTTCAACTCTTTTGTATGCGTAGGCTAATTTCAAAGATGTTTTGCTTCGATGTTTTGGTGAGATGATTTTGAGATGTGTCGTTCAGGTTTTGTTGAGGGTTTGTTAAAATTATTGATAGGATGGAAATGTAGTATTTAGATCGTCTATTGTTTGCTGGTGTTGTTTTGTTTGTTCTTCACCTTTCAGTTTTAGTTGGTGTTTTTTTGCGTTGTTCATGTCTTTGAAATGTTGCCTACCAACCATCAAATTTGAATTATATAACATGTTCTCTATGTTTCTCCCTATGCCTTCTTTTATTTTCAAGACATACATTACACTGCTTACATCTTTCCATATATCTAAAGGTTGATACACTTTACATGTTGAACATTGCTTAATTTCAGCTGTTGTTTTCTCTATAGATTTAAAGGGGTCATATCTTAAACAATGTATATAGGGATATATAGGGGCTCTGAACTAATGATGCAACCCATTGACCTATACCATCCCAATAAAGCTCAACCAATCTCGGTAGTGATAGTATGTCCATTCCGTCATAGTTCTTTCATTATCGCCATTATTAAAACTATAATGGGTTTTCATGTCTTTTATTCCATCTCTTGAATTAGGCCTTTCTCCACATTCTCTAACAATATCGTCATCTAAAATGTTTTCACATATATATATATTGCCTGAGAAGGGGGAGGACGAAAGCCAGCTGTTTTTCCGATGGCGGCTGCAGGGCTGCGGCTGCATCCAGAGAAGGCTCCGGAGAAGGTACCGGGGCAGGTCCATGAGCAGGTTCCAAAGCAGACAAGGCTCCAGAGGAGGGTGTGGACAGCGAAGAGATTTTCCGAGTGGCGCTTCGTGCTGTTGGGGACTTTCCTTGGGCTTATGCCACTGATCCGACTGATCCGCCCAAAATATAACCATACGTCGCAGCTACACCTCTCTTCCCAGAGACATAGAGACACAGAACACAAGAGACATAGAGACACAGAGTCATAAAAGACAGAGACATAAAACACAGAGAAGTTGCTATCTACAGGGGGGTCCTTTTTCTGATAGCAACTTGTCGCTGCCAACCAACTACCATACTTGCCCCAACACATCCAACCAGACTTCTCTGACGGGATGACTAGGAGGATGGCAGGAACTATATGTCTCAGCATTGGTGTCACCAACCGTGATCCAAAAAATATGGCATAGATCCGTGACTATAACCAACCCAGTAACCAACCCTTAAACAGCAAGCTCTTCACCCCACCAAGTTGCTATCTACACGGGCCCCTTTTCTGATAGTGACCTGTCGCTGCCAACCAACTACCATACTTGCCCCAATACATCGAACCAGTTCCACTTGGAAGCAATCATCAAGTACTTTTGCAACCAAAATCCGTCGTGAAAATTACGACAAAATCTGTCGGACAAGTACTGTTGCAAGCAAAATCCGTCAAAAGAATTACGACAGAATCTTTCGGACAAGTACTGTTGCGACCAAGTTCCGTCACAAAGCCTCGAGCCACTATATAGACTAGGGTATGTTTTACCTGCTTTGCTGGTCCAGTCAATACCATCTATATAGCTTCTTTGATTGAAGTGCAACAACGAATGTAAATTGCCCGGTCGTGCATGCTTGGCCAGGACATGTCGATATTCTTGCTTTTGAGAGTTTGACTCAAGCGATGGGGTGCAAGATGTCCAAGGTTTTGGTGTGCATGCTTTAGGTTCGTACCCAACTAGCCTCATACCTTTGCGTGCACGCTGACGTCCCCCCCAACACCCCCTTAACTCAATTCGTTCGGTCTGAGAGCTCAAGCCTAGCCTATCGGCTGGCTTTCGTAATATGTATATATAATATATACGTACTGCGAGTGGATCTTAATCAGCGAAGTTTGAAGCTATCACTGACGGTCCATAAGCGGCGTAGCGTCGGAACGGAAACCGCACCTTTTCTAGTCGCTTGATCCTTGAGCCAAAGTACATATGGTACATATATATATGTACAAGTTGCACTGTACGTGTCGCTGCACTTCCATTCGCACCCCCCATGTGAACGGCAACAATATGTTCCGATCACACACGAAAATTTAGGGATGTAAGTGCTACAAAAGAAATTGTATGATTTGCCGCGAGACTCATATGAGGCTCATACTACAAAACATGCTGGACTAAAGCGGACTTTTACATATAAAGTGTGCAACTATGGCTCAGAACCTATGAAAAAAAAAATCGAATTGAACAAGTGAGACAGTCACGAGGCCTCGCTCAGTATCCACTCAAAAGAGCATCGCTTTGATGTAGATCAGAACTGGTGACTTCCACGTAGATGTCACATCGGCAACTGACTTCACACTTCTCAAAAGATGTAGGTTTTGATTTGGATACACTTACAGAACAGCAAGTCGGAGAGACAGTCGGTGACTGTCTGCCTTCCATTATGCTCATGGTATCAAGTCAGATTGACGATTTGCAATGATACACTTACAGCGTTTCAGGTCAGATAGACATCCGGTGAATGACTTCCTCCCTGGTCTGCATGGTATCCTCATAGTCGTTCAAAGAAATCACCACTGGCGATGACCTCTCCATCCACGATGATCCCAGCTGCCCTGAGCATCCCGCCGATCATCTTCTCCCTTCTTGGACTTTCCCTTGGGCTTGCTCTTTCCCTTCCCCTTTTCAGAAGGTTGAGGTACTTCGCGACGTTCTTGCGTTAGCGCCGGCCTCCAAGATGTTCCAGGTTGGCCTCCTCCTTTGGAATGTCCTCGGGATGATGAAGAAGTTGTACCTTCTGCTGCATGTGCGTTGGCGGCAAGATCTTCTTGCAAAGCTTGCTCAAACACATCGGTAGCACTGGATGGTGATTTATCAAGTGGTCTGGCTTTTGGAGCAGCCTTTGCCTTGTTCTCCTCTGTTGAAGGTCTTGGCTCCTCACTTGGTGCCGACGACGGCTTGGCCTCGGTTCTGGGTGTAGATGCTGGCTTTGCCTCAGCTCTTGACGAAGATGCTGCTTTCGTTTCAGACTTAGTCGTTGATGTTGACTTAGCTGTTGCCTTGGCTGCCTGCTTCTTCTTGCCCTGAATCTCCTTGGCCCTATCTCCAAAGCCCAGACGATTGGTAAGAGCTTGAACATGCTTATGTTCTACCACGCTCATCCATCTCTCTGTATGTCCAACGTTGGGGTTTCTGGCCATTGACTCTATGACTTCCTGAGCTTGTGGGGGCAACCTGATCTCATGTTGATTAATGATCAACAGAATAGACTTCTCCCACTTGCTCTTCATTCTCGAGTACATGATGTCCAGAGGATCGATCACCTTGTGGTTGGGTGATGTAACGTCGGTTCTAAAGTAAGAATATGTCCGACAACCATAAATCGCATGGATGCACTTCTGTACCAATTCAGTCATTGCGCTGGCTTTCTTCGCTTTCAACTCCTCAAGCTGGGCATCAGTCAAGTTGGTGGAGTGTTCGAAGTTGCCATATTCCTCCTTGAAGGAGTTCGGGGTATGACCAAATGATAGGATCATGAGTGCTACCTTGCAAATGAATTGCTCCCCTCTGAATCGGTGCCAGGCCTCCTCAGTCGTAATATTGTTGTCGTTGGCAAAGATTAACATCATATCATCTGATGGATCCAATGGTCTCCCATCGTCATCGATTTCAGTGGAATCTCCTGTACCGAACTTGCTTATCACATCCAGACGCTTCCTTTTCCAATTTGCTTTGAAGTCGGTAAGGCTGGTGCAATAGTAGCTCTTGTACATCAGGGAGATCATGTTCAGCACACATTTAACCACATACCTATCCATCAAACCCGATGCTTTCACGGAGACGTCCTGACAGTAGGCTCTCTCTTGATGCGCATAGATTCGAGGTTCCGGTACTCGACAATAGATGGGGAGATCTTCGTTGTCTTTTCCTTCTTCGGGATTGAACTCGGTCGCTCCATGTTGTGCATAGTATCCCGGTTCATCACGATCTGTCGGTCGATTCGCCTCCGGATGTAAGTCGTCGGTGACGTCTTCATCCTCGGGCTCACCATCTTGACGTTTCTTCCCCTCATATTGTTGTGTGCTCCTCTGGATCTCGATGATCACGTTTCGTTCGTCTTCATCTTCTAGATCAGAATCACGACCGTAGTCGATCTCGTCCTCATTGAAAGATGGTGTCTCGACATTGTCACTCTTGAAGTTTTCTGCACCATCAGACGGTTTGGAAGGATCTAGATTGTCCATGTCCTCGTCGTCGTCAGCTGCTTCAGTTTGAGCGATGTCTTCTTCCCAAGCCTTTCTGATCTCGTCCATAGTGGCCTGGTCCAAAGTATCTTGAACAACATCTTCAGGCTCCTTCTCTTCCTTCTTTTCCTCTTCATCGTCGGTCACAAGATCAACGGGTGAATCGGAAATGACAGTGTTGCGAATACCACACGAGAGTAGCCTGCCTTGACAAGATAGACACACGGACAAAGATGAAGAAGTCAAATGCATACATGATGGACACAAAATATTGCCATCCACGTTGCGATACCCTTCACATGTTCTGGAGATGATTTCGTCCCAAGTTTCCTCACTGATGGAATCCTCGATCAGCTCTCCATTGTCATCGAATTTTACTTCATCGATAAGGGACACGAGCTTTTGGACGTTGTCATCTGTCGCCGAGGCTGACTTCGTGACTTCGTCGGCTCTCTCGAGGATGGTATGCTTCTGAGCAACCCAAAGTCCATGACGTGCCGCTAGA